CACAATTATATTATTATTATTATTGTTGTTGTTGTTGTTGTTGTTATTCCCTACAAGTGAACATTATATTGAGTTTTGGGTAACTTAATTACATTTTAATGTTTAAAAAATGTGGTTTTTATATGCATAACTTGTAGGTTCCCTTTTGTGTGTGTCTCTATTGGTCTCACGATTGGGAAAATTCCAACTGTTGGTGTGGTGTACAACCCGATAATGAATGAGGTGAGGCTTCTAATGCTCTTAGTCTCCTCTTATATGTTCTGTTTGGATGGTGTGGAATGCTTTGGAGGACTTCGTCTTGATACATATATATATATATATATATATATATATATATATATATATATATATATATATATATATACTCCCTCTGCCCTGATTCAATAGTCCCTTTCTTGTTTTCGTTTGTCCGAAATTAGTTGTCCATTTTTTAACTTCAATAAAAAATGCTAATGAAAGACTTGTTTCACATGATTGAGTTACATACTCATTTTAAAGACTTATTTGTCAAACTCATTTCTTTAAAATGCTATTTTTTAGAAAATGAACAACTAAATCCGGACAGAGGAGGGATTATACTGTTTTTTTAAAATGAATATGATCATGTCGGTCTTTGAATTCGTTAAATCTCAAATGTGACATCAAAATATAGAGTAAGCCTTCAAAAACCCATTCTCTTGCATAGCTTTCCATCCAAACAGACCCTTAAGCACTTGGCTTCCCTTCCTATATTCTGCCCGCCGAATGCTATTCAGATAAACAATTTTTCAAACATATTCTTTGGCTATTTGATAAGGGATTAAAGTTATCTCATTTCAAGTTTACAATTAGTTTGTGTGATTAATTTAAAAGGTTTGACCTGTTGTCTTTTGCATTTTAGCTTTTCACGGGAATCCGTGGGAAAGGCGCTTTTCTAAACGGAAACCCCATCAAAGGTGAATTCACATCTCCAAGTTATGATTTTTCTTACATTCATTCATACGATAATGCACACAACTATGAACAAACTAAATAAGATTTGGTTTATGTTCTGTGCAGTGTCTTCCCAAGATGAACTTGTGAAGGCGCTCCTTGTAACTGAGGCGGGAACAAAGCGCGACAAGTTAAATGTTGACTCTTGCACTAACAGAATCAACAAGTTGCTTTTCAAAGTAAGTTTTGAACTTCAATTCCCTTTGAATCGAAATCTACGTTACACGTGAAAATTCCAGATTTGACTTGACGCGGAGATTAAGAAAACTGAAAAATGCTTTTGACTTTTCAGTGGTACCGTTGGGTAATCAGTGGGTGGGGTAGATGAGTAGTGGGTATATAGTGGATAACAAAATAAGTGAAGTGCTTAAAAGAGAGTGACAAAAAAGTATTTTTTTTTTTAAGAAAAACATTTTTTAGGACTTACACTAAGCGTGGGTCCTGCATAGGGTGGGTTGTTTATTGACGGTTTTGTCCCTCTTATCGTATGTATGATCAGGTGAGGTCCCTACGAATGAGTGGCTCATGCGCGTTGAATCTATGCGGCATTGCATGTGGAAGGATTGATCTTTGTTATGAACTTGGATTTGGTGGCCCTTGGGATGTGGCTGCTGGTGCTGTGATTGCCCAAGAAGCCGGTGGCGTTCTCTTTGATCCGTGAGTATATATACCCATAAAACCCCTTCACTCCTCATTCCCAACCCCTTTTCAATTTTCACAAACCGGATTATCTGAAGTCAGTTTGAGTCAATTTTTGTCAATTTTGGTCCGTTCTATCTTCAAAGCTCATACGTTTAATTAGAAACCGAACCTCAAATGGTTTGAACGGATTTAAACATATATATTTATATATTGGGTTGTGTGTCAGGTCTGGGAAAGAGTTTGATATCACGTCGCAACGAGTAGCTGCGTCGAACCCTCTGCTGAAGGAAGCTTTCATTGAAGCCTTGAAGCAGATTGAATGATGAGTTCCTTCTTCTCCACTCAGCACATCAAGAAGAAGCACAAACTCAAATGTACCCAAATAATAATAATTGATTTCATTACTACCATTAGTTTACATATTCTTTCTTCCATCTGCTACCTAGAGTGAGCAATTGAGCATGGTATGATGTAATGTGAGATTTAGCTCGTGCTGATACAATACCGAATATTTGAATCTTACATTAGATTTTCGGTCATATTGATTCTGAAATATTAGTCCAAGATTAATTAAGTATTCCCACCCTCTCAAATTTGATTACAAATTTTAAATCCCTTGTAAAATTCCGAGTATTTTAAATTTATAAATTGGTATAGAAATGAAAAATATGACATACATGTTAAAAATTACGTCGCAAGTTTCACAAAATAAGAAGTGTGAATATTTTAGTTTATTGAATAATCAATGAAAACGTATAAATAAATACAGAGTAAAAATAATTGAAAAGTAGAGAATAATGTGGTAATCAATTGTGGGGACAGCGAAAATATATAAACTCTTCATTTAAAAAATATAACGAAACCTTTTTATACTCTGTATATTTTTGAAAAAATTGAATATGCAAGTAATTTACTATTGGTATTTTAGTATATTTATATCTTTGAATATTAAACCTGCACGATTGGGATAAAATTGCGAACAAGTTTTACTGATTTTTTGTTAGTCATCGATGATAATTTACAATATACAGTAATAAGTAGCTAATAATTAAAGAGAAAAGTGTTAGTCATCTATGACTATTCAAAGTTCAGACTTTAAACTGATATTTTGACATCTCAATAATTTTTATTTATTTTAATGTTTTTATTTATTTTTTGATAAAACAAAATATATAATATTTCTATCACATCTTATTGTAATGTACTCGTAGTATAAACTTATTTTAGTGTAATTTTAAAATGTGAACTCTGTAATTTGTAAATAAATTAATTTCAAAAGAGATAAAATTTTATAGGTTGTTCAAAGTAAGACAGTAGTTTTGGAAAAAAAGAGGAATAATACTGCTTCCTAAAGTAGAAAAAAAAATATTCCGTTGCTGGGCTTCGAACCCAGAGACCTAGGGTTTCAATTGGTAGGTTTAAGCCAATGCTACAACGGATTGGAATTGCTCTTCTGCTTCATTTATATGAAAAATAAAATGTAAGCACTTAGGAATTAGGATACGGAATAATTTTTGAAAAATCTAGAAAGATATTTCTTCCGTCCCATAAAAATATTCTCATTTTGACTTTTAGAAAATCTAAGGGTACAATATTTTTGTGCTGACTTTTCAAAAATATTCTTGATGTGATGAGTAAAAGTATGATGTGATAGGTAGATTATTAGTAAAATTATATGATGTGATAGGTATGTTAAGAATTAGTAAAAGTAATTTTTTAATAGAAAAGGAAAGGAGTTCGTGAGACAACAAAAAGGATAAGAAGTTTTTGAGACGGAGGAAGCACTTTTTAAAACCTAGGATGTTTGCTCAAACCTAGGAAGTACTCCGTACTTTTTAAGCCAATGTGTGTATCTCGACCTACCAACTCTAACACCTTCTGATTTATGTCAAAAGTAAAATATTACTTCTATTTTACCCTGACGACATGACAGACACTACATTTAAATATCACTAAAGTAAAAAAGAATGAGTTGACATTTTATTTAAAGTGCAAAATGGAAACACTAATTCTGTCTTGGCACACACTATATTCTTGTATAAACAATATTCTCTTCAACTTATTCGTATTATTTATTTTTTTATTGGATTAGTTTAGTTCAAATCAGAAACAACTTTAAATATAGCTACATTCAGATCAGATCAAAAATAATTTTAAATAAAATTATATTCAAATCAAACTAGATTAGACCAGATCAGATTAGAACTTATTCCAATCATATTAGAACCATTCAGATCAGGTGAATAAACATTGCCTTTCTTAATCCCAAAATGTTATATGCTTTGCGAAAATAAAATGCAATCTTTAACCCCTTCAATTTATTTTACTTCAAAGTTTGATATAAAAATAAAAAATAAAACTTATCTTGTAATTTGTATATTAAAAAATTATAGAAATTATATATTAATAATCTATATGTTAAGACAAATCAAACAAGATCACACATGACTATATTTAGGCTTACACATTGAGAGAATTTGATGAGTCAAAGTGCTTAGATGAACAGTTCCAAAAGTCAAAACTGGACGAATACTCTGGGACGGAGGGAATATTATTTAATCATTGAAAATACAAATATTATTTTTTATAATTTTTCCTGATGTGATATCATTGGATTTGATCGGGTCTGATCTGATTGGAATTGGTCTGATCTGATTGGATCTGGTCTAATTTGATGGAATCTGATCTGATATGATTGGATATGATCTTATGAGGTCTGATCTGATTTTAATAAGAATAAGTAATAAGTAGAAAAAATAAGTCCTACAGAACGGACCCCTAAAGTTATTTTGGATATAATCTGACCCGATCTGATCAACTAAATTGATTCTAATAAGAATAATAAATAGTCGTAATTAATAAGAATAAACTAAAGAAAAAAATATTTTAAAACATAACAAAGAAAACAAAATGGAACATCCATCTATTCCTATTTTAATTAGAATTTTACAACTTTGAAGTAAACCCCCATATTTTTTAAATCTTTTTATTTAATAATTGATATAGGAATAAAAAATAAATTTATATATTTAAGAACTACGTCCAAAGTTCTACAAATTTAAAAGTAACAAAACTATTTTATTTTATCAAATAATCAATCAAAATAAACAAATAAACAAAAGCTATTGAGATGAGGGAGCTATAATAAATTATGATACGAATGAAGTACGCAGTATATAATACCAAAAGACATTGTAAAATATCAAAGTACAGCGTTACATATAATCTTTTTATCCGGAGAATAAAAATATGATAGTTTAATATTTGAAATAAAGATTATATTTCATTTATTTTTATTTTATTTTGTGTGTGAATTCTAAAAAAAATTAAGGAGGAAATGCTCCTGTAAATATCAAGATTTGAGTGCCTTCCCATGAATCGCATAAAGTACACCACAATACGAATCCACAAGAAGAGGGTTTTCTTCTTCTCCTCCGGCATTCATTCATACGCTAGGAACACACCTTCATACTGAAATCTCAGTGGAATTCGAAGAAATTACAGTTGATTAAAGATGCAAAACGGAGGCGATGAGGTTAGCATCGAAGAATTGGCTACGAATCTGTCAACTTACCGAGAACAGCTTCAACAGGTGTGACTGTTCTCCCTCGCCGCTTTAAATTTCAGCAATTCTTCGTAGCTTTACTCTGCAGATCTTGTCATCTTTAAATCTTTCCAATTACTCGTTTAATTCGTTTGAATTAGTCGGATTATGTGTGTTTGAGTTCTTCAGGTTTTTGTTTTTTTTTAATTTACTCTATTTTTGGGTAAAATGTAAACAATAGCATTAGTAATCCAAAGTAAGTGATTAGTACAAAATACCGGGGCACACCCCTACAAATCAATAACTACATGGCCACAAAACAAGGCCCAACAAGGAGAAACCCTCCAAGAAAGGGTAAAGTAAAGAGACTTAAAAGGAAAACAAAGCTAACGATGATGAGCATTAGACTTCGGACGGTTCCTTGCAACACGCAATAGAGCATTCAAGTTAAGTTTCCTAATGTCAGGCATAGCATTTTCCAAAGCCAAAGGTGCAGCTGGAGAAGTGAAGGGATCAACCTTCTTGTCCTTTGCATTCAGGTTAGGCATCACAAGCAGTTGGTTGCTCAAAACAGCCTGTGGTTCAGGGCAGGGTTGCTTGCCCGTGGGCCGTGACAGAATCTGCATTGGCCTCTGATCCCACAGAAACGCCATTTTGTTGCTTCTTTTTTTTGTGACTCCAGTTTATGGAGTATGAAGTTGAGTTTTAAATTTAATTGGATTGTCCAAGAGCTGCCGGATAAACAACAACAACCAGTAGAATCCCACAACAGTAGGGGCTGGGGAGGGTGTGTGTATGCAGACCTAACCCTTACTACAGCTGCCGGATAGAGATTAGCAAATTTGAATTTTATTTGCTAGGGAAAATAATACCAGCAACATGGAAGAATATCAAAGGATTGCTTCTAGTTTGTGTACGTACTGCTGGTAGAACTTGTCCCAACAGGAGTAATGACTCGCCATGTTATATGATTGCTTCTAGATGGGACAGGATCATTGACGCGCCATGCAATAGGATTACTTTACTATCTGTGCCTCAATCTTAACTTGTTACATTAGGAATTGATGTTACTATGATGGTGGGTTTAGTTTCTAGGAATATCTCCCGGTTAGTTTTCTAAAAAGGTTACATTTTTATCAATTTATTTGTTTCTGTAATATCGGTTGTGCCTTCAGACCTTCACTATTCCATAATTCTTTTAAAAATTTATTTCCTTTGTGTGGTTGAATAGAATGGAGGTTATAAAAGAACCATGCATGAGTGCATCACACCCCACTAGTAGATGTGATAATTTAACATCACTAAAGTTATTATAGGTACAAGGTACCTAGTTTATTATTCTTTTTTTATCTTGGTTGTGTTGTGCATTTTATTCTTTTTAAAAGTGGAAATGCCTACTCATGTGCATAAATTGCATTCATTCTTTTTTTCCTAACAGGTTCGTGCACTGTTGAAGGATGACCGTAGCAATTCTGAATATTTGGACATGGAGAAGGAACTTGTCGAGGTGACTTTTGCAGTCATTTTACTATACTTCTCTTTGCTCGGACACAATTACTTGTGTCTTTTCATCTCATGATTTGCTCATCTGTCACGTGCTTGAGTTTGTTGCATGTTTCCAGTCTTACTTGCTTTTCTGCCTCTACGGTGTTTTTTTGGATATAATGCTCATTTTCTTATTTTTTATGTTATGAATTGTGCATGTCTGTCAAGGTTTTTGAGTTCATCACTTTTTTTGCTAGCATGTCTGGCAAGTTTTTCCATATATTTCATTATATCCCATACCATGAAGGAACAAAACCTAATTACAGGTAATCATTCATTTATCTCATTTTTTTTCCGGTATACCTCAATTTCCCCCCTCTCACAAAAAATTATATTGTCGCAAAACTAGCAGTGATGGAATTAAAGAATACCAATGACTGAGGAAACATAGTTTTACCCTTGGGTTTGAAAAGGTGAGATTTTCATTTAGTTAGAGATTCACCCATATGGTAATGAAAAGTGGTGATTTTTTAAGATTTTAGATTAGGAGAACCTCAAGGTGTCCATCACTTGTCTCTTCATTCAATTGCAGGTCTGCAATGTCATGATGGCCCGCCTGCATCTGTCTCATCATTTCAAACGTCTTCTGAGAATCTAAGTCTAAAATTTGATAAAATTCACTGATTTACTTCTCTGTAATGCAAAAATTTTCTCGCTTAATTTGTACTCTGCTAAGTTCTTGTGAATGCAGGTTATTGCTTTGACAGAAGAGCTCCTTGCAACTGCAAAACAAAATGAAGATTTTGAACTAGGTACGGGGAATAGTGCTGATGCATCATATGATTTTGGCCATCCAGGGAGCACTTCGGTAAGTTTCAAAATTGAAAAGATGATTTGCTAGGCTGTTAGATGTATTTCATTGATTTGCATGGGGAAGAGATCACATTTTGATTGGAAGCACAACAAAAATATCTTTTATGATTTTCTTTGCTCTATATCGTTTGTTTTTTTAAATATATTTCATGAACAAGATTTCTTTTTTGCCACCTATTCTGAAATCCAGTTGTTTTCTATTTAGTAGCGATCTATTTCTGAAGTCCATTCCAAAAAAAAGGTTTTGGGTTTGACCTACCACGGTATTGAGAAAATGAAAATGTGTGGTTGAGATCTATGCATAGTAGCTAGAAATAGTATGAACCACACAGTTCTTTCACCTTATTTTAGTATGGACAAAAAAGAAAAGTTAGGAAACTATAAACCTTTTTTTGGGACAAAGGGAGATTTATGCTCTGTTTCAACCTCATTTATCCTAATTCTTATGTTTTGCGTAGGCCAAATATTAGCTTTATAAGAATATTTCATATATGCTCTTTAAATATCATTTGCAAGTCTAAAACATCCACATTTTTTGAGGAATCCATGTTTTCATTTTCTCAGAGTATGCAGTTTCCTGTTGGCACCAAAGTACAAGCTGTTTGGAGTGAGGATGGAGAGTGGTATTTTGAATCTCTTTGATTGATTATCTATCTTAATATCAGACTATTCATCTTCCTTCACCACTTTTATTTTTTTTTGTGGTTAATTTAGTTGACTCTTCAGGTACAATGCAACCATTGAGGCACATACTTCAAATGGCTATCTTGTAGCTTATGATGGGTGGGGAAATAAGGAAGAGGTATGCCTGATTGCCTACGTGATTCTAATTCTAGCGAAATGCTTTTCCACTGTCCACATAAGTGTTTGGATGGCTTATTTTCAAGGAATAAGTTCTTCTTAGAGAAATAGGAAAAGTGATTTTTCTCATTAAAGAGCGCTTTTGATGCTTATTAAAGAAAGGAACATATTGAGTGTTTTAGAAAAAGAACAATAAGTGCTTAAATGAGAAAGCACTTGTACCACAAGTAATCCCGAACAGGTTCTTAAGTTTGCAATGCTACACCCAATAGAAAATTGCTTGCCCTTATTTTGGTCCACCATGTAGTATAGGGTCAGTGCTAACTACTAAGCGCACAACCTTGACGAGTCATCAACCTATATCACATAAGTAGGAGATAGATAAGAAAAGGTCAGGGGTTTCTTACTTCGGGTGGATGAAAAGTTTATGTGTTTGTACGTGCTCTCAAGCCAATGTTGGGCAGTTGTGGCTCCCATTGATAAACTATACAACAGTTTTCTTGTAGCTTCTGAAATCTGATCAATCTTTTAAAAAAACTGAATAAGTTCTTGTTTATTTTCTGAATGATTTATTGAAAATTGCAGGTAGATCCAGAAAATATTAGGCAAATTCAAGGAGAGGTCAATCCTTTGGATGAAGCTGAAAAGATTGCTGAGGCCACAAAACAGGCCCTGAAGCGGAAGATTGCACAGGCTTCTGTCATTGAATACCAGTCTAAGAGTCTACCAGCAAAGCTCCATATTGATCCCAATGACCCGGAAGATGTGGTATGTTGAATTAAAGATTCTCATATCTGTTTCAAAAATAAATTTAGTGATATTATATTTGGTGGTGTTCTTTTGACACCGGTGTTAGTGTGACACCGGCAGCACCGCTCCCATTTGAATATCCTACGATGCTCCTTTGGGCCCTAAACTAGGTCTGACCCCCTAACCCCCCACAAACCTTTAGAGTTATATTTGCATTTCTTAATTAGAGTCTAGGCCTTGTTAATTATTGTGTCTCAAAAAAATCTTTACATTTGACTTTTCTTGGCCAAACTTTACATTCTTTGATCCTAATATGTGCAACAACCTTTCGTCGTATTTTGTGGAAGAATTATATCTAATTATAATGTAAATTGAATATCATTGAGTTCATTTTTTCTATGTGGTTTTGATATATCAAATTTTTGTAACATTTAATAATGTACAAATATACTCCTTCCGTCCCATATGTTTCTTCCTATTTTGCCTTTGTTAGGGTAGTTAATTACAGAGAAATGTTAAAAAAGTGAGTCGTGTAAAAAGGAGTATGTAGGTTAGGTGGGTAAATGAGCCGGTGGATTAGGATAGGTGGAGTAGTAAAGTAGGATATTAAATGAGGTAGTAAATTAGTAATGGGTATTGAGTTCAGGGTGAAAAAGTCAATATGATGTTATTTATTTGCTAAATAAGGAAAGAGGAAGAAAGGTATGGGACAACCCAAAAAGGAAAACTGGAATAAAGACATAAGACGGAGGGAGTAGTTTTTAGTGAATAGTGATTGAAATGTCACATTGATTATCTAAAGATCTTTTTGGACAAAGGGAGTTATTAACTCTGCATATTTAACTACATAAATAGTACTAGACTGTTGGCTTGTGATATGTGTGTCAATTGGTTATACGTGTGCTGAGTTCGTAACTTATTTGTACCTTGTATTAGGCTCCATTTGGTAGCTATAATCGGCTTTTCAACAGATTGACTAACTTTTTACTTATGGCTGAAATGGATTTTACCCAATGGTTCTCCTAGAGAACTCACGAGATCTGGTCGTTTTAGGCTAAAATAACCATTACCCAACCGGTCCATAGTGTTCTATAAGTGTCTGTCTATTGTCAGGCCTCATGTGAACACCTCCTAATTCTCTTATTTCGGCCCCACCTAAATGCATTGTCCAGTCCACCACCTTGGGTCCCACTGGGCATACTTTAGAACAATGCCCCATATGACGACAATTCACATGCATATGTTTTGCAGAAAGCTTCGAAGAGAAAGAAGATCCATGCTTTCAAGTCAAAAATGCGGATAGAGAAACTTGAGGTAGCCCAAAACAAGAGGCAAAATGCTTGGCAGCAATTTCAGTCGACAAAAGGCTCTACTAAGAAGGTGTTTATTCATACGCAATCAAAAACTAATTGTATCTGCATTGAGACACTCAGTCCCACTGTCATATTATGACACCGGTCTATTGTACCCTACGGTGTTCTATTTAGCCCCAAAATGGTTTCCACCCCCACAAACTTCCTAACCATTCGGGAGGGGAGGGGTAGGAACCCCTTCAGGGTACCATAGGGCCCCAGAATTGACCGGTGTCATAATACAACACTGACCCTTGGTGTCAAAAGAACCTGGCCATCGTAGCTAACTACTAAAGTTTCATTTTGAATGTTTTTTTCCCTAAATTTCTTTGTTCTTTCACAATACTTCAGATCGGATTCTTCTCGGGTAGAAAGCGGGAAAGCATCTTCAAGTCTCCCGAGGACCCTACTGGAAAGGTCGGTGTGACTGGAAGTGGGAAAGGTTTGACAGATTTTCAGAAGAGGGAGAAGCATTTGCATCTTAAAGGTACCTCTGCTGAGGCTTCTGATGACTACTAGCCCTAAAAATTTAGCCCCAATTCCTAATGTTGTGCCTTTAAAAAAATATATATTTAACTGATACAATTTTTAGGAGTGATATCCCAAAATCCATCTTTGTATTTTTTTAGTTTTTCCTTTCTTGAAAATTTAAAAAATATGATACTGCAAAGTTGTTGCTCATCTCTTGGCAAATCGAGTGTAGTTTCTTCCGTTCTCTGGTTCTAGTTTGCAATTCGTGATCCATTCGTTTATGGCCAATGTGAAACTCGGAAACAACGATGAAAGAAAATTTGGAACTTGATGAAATCAATTTAAGATATTCCGTCCATCTTGAAAAAACGACTTTAATGGAGTTTTAAGAATTGCATGATTAAAATTCATTTAGATGAAGAAACCACATGTTCATTGCCCCGTATTTAAAAAAGAAATGAAGTAGAAATTGTTGGAAATAAAGTAGAAATAGTCTGAGATGTCCAAAAAGAATGTTTGAAGTTTTTTTAGGGGGAAGTATTTGTTTATTTATTTCACCTTTTATTTATTTAACGAGTACATCGGCAAAATGAAACATTAAGGGTGGAGTGTAAAACAAGTTGCTTTTACAAAGAGCTTTCACTACTCATTTCGTTAAATATAGTTACGAAAGAGTTATGGAATGACACAAAACATGTTCTATTGCCAAGTCACTTTAACCAAATTTAGTTTTAATGTTTCTAAAATTGATTTGAATCATTAAGAGTTTGTTTGAAATAATAATTCTAATCACGAACATTGTATTGAAGTCAATCACTTCACTCTCATTTAAAAATTCAGTCAATTGTTTGCAAAGGATAACCTTAAATTCTTCTTGCAACTTGGAAAGCTAGAACCAAATGAAGTGCTAGCAGAAGTAAACCGAACCTAGATCGACATGATTAAATGTGAAATGAATTCAATAACCCTATACAAAATTGGGATAGGATCAGACCGATAAGGTAGAATTTGAGAACATTTCATTTTAATTTCTTAAATTTTAATACCAAAATTTGAATTCCAAATTTAGGATATGGTTCTATTTTAATTGAGTTTTGTTATGAATTGAAAGAATTTGACTCAAATCTAAAATTTTAAGATTCTTAAACGCAGAATTGAACCATATCCAAATTTGAAAAATCCAAATTCAAATGAACAAGTCCATATTTCACACTAATTTTGATCAACTAAACCAAATAATGCACAAGCCTACTTTGTTTGAAAACGAACACCAAGAGGCACTGAGTCTCAACGTATGGCATCTATATTAATATGGAGTACTTCACTTTGCCCTATTAAAAAAAAAACTTTTTTTCATCTGACTTTCTCAGAGTTTCAAAGTGTTGAAAAATAAAGTGTGACTAATTTATTTAGATGAGAAAACGAGAAAAATCTTGTAAGCCACATGTTCGTTACCAAAAAAACAAAAAAAATTAAAGTAAAGACTGTTCGGATGTTTAGAATGGGAAAACAAGCAACTTTTTTTGGACGAAGAAAGTATATAAAAATCTGAACTGTTATTATTCCAAACCAAAACCACATTACAATGTTGTCTTTTAATTTTTGAACTTTACAAAGCTAGACCGGCCATATAACTAAGGTGCCCGCGCGCAAAACCGGTGAAACACATTCACTATATAAAACAGAACAAAAAGAAAAGCTGTATGTGTGAGCAAATCTCAGGTAGACGAGACAAGACGAGACTTACAGTGTCATTTGTCATCACTATATTATCGTTATTGCGGAGTACTATACAAAGTTGTTGGGCTCATAGGATATCATGACTTCAGAACCTTTCAAAAACAGGATGCCACACCTATGGCCTATCAAACTCCCACGCTTCGCACTGCTTTCTTTTGTCTGGTTAAAACTGCAAAGGATAAATGGGAGATTAGAACATACTCCATCCTGTGCAAATCACTTCACCTAGTTTATATTTCATTAAGTTTAAAAAGGTATTGAAAGCTGAAAACTACATGAGCGGAATTCATTGAGAAAAAAATATTGCAACTCATATATTCATTACAAAGAAAAATGAAAAATCAGGGATGGAGGCGGTAAATTCATACTTCGTATTATACAAATATCAAGGTCCCATATTACTACTAAATTAGCAGCAAACATAGCTAGCCAGCATCTCTTCCCATGACATTATTTGTCAACTTTCTTTTTTTGCAAGAATTTAGAGATGATAACTTATACTCCCCCTGTGCCATAAAGTGGAATCTGGGTTTTTACATTAATTTATATATGCCCCACAAAAAGCTTCAAATATGAAGAAAATATGATAACTTTAATCATAATCAATGTTTTTACTATAAAAAAAAGTGCTCCAAATTAGTTGAGTATGATATTCAGTTAAACAAACAAGTTTTAAACTATAGCTATCTTTGGTGATTCCGATAAGTGAACCTTACTTCAACAACAACAACAAGCCAGTAGGATCCTGCATCATAATGGTCCGGGGAATATGTTCTGATGACAATGAAAGTTTCACATCTTACCCAAAATGAGGACAGCAATGAAGTTCAATTCAAGATAAAGTTCGTTTGTTGAAGGACTCTATAGTCAAGTTTGCTGTGAAAGCCGGAATTGAGTTCATTTTACGAACAAATATTTCAACCTGCAAAAGCAGAGAAAACTATAAATATACTGTCTTACACTGTAGTAATCAACAAACTAAAATAAGCTTTTCTATATCTCCACCAACGTTCAAGCTTCTCTATAAACATTTTATTATTTCAATATGTGATAAACGGGCAGGGCACAAAAAAACAAAGAAAAGTATGATATTGGAGACAAAAACTGGTTGTTATTTAGCATTATAGATTTTAAAATGCTATGCAAGTACATTTTACTTGAATATTTGATATAGCCAGCTATATCCTCTACAGAAAATAGACTAGATGATCAAAACTAGAAGAGTGAGGTGGAATGGTCAAACCTGACGAGATATATCCGTCTGTGAGGTGTACTGATTAGCCTAATATGACAAAGAAGAGAAGATGAAAAGAGTGAATTAAGTTGCTGTATCACAATAACATCATAATGAAGTTAACCCAAGATAATCCCAGATCTCTTGGGATCTGAGTGAGGGGGTCAAGATGTGTGCAACCATAAACTCTAAGCCGCATCATATAAAAATTGCGTTGCACTCGTTGGAGCATAAGGTCTCTTTGGAAACAACCTCTCTACTTTCGAATAGAGGTAAGGTTTGCATACACAATCTCTCCCCAGACCCTACTCGTGTTGGATTCAACTGGGTTGTTGTTCATTGGAGCATAACATAATGGGTGGAACCAAAGTGAAATAGCAACTTTGACAACATAATTCAGTATTGCAATGTATATAGTGTGCCTAACTAGCCCAAACACCTGTAAATAAATATATATAAAAATATGAAAGAATAAAAGATTCAGTAAGTCCAATTTACCAAAATGTTTGTATTCCCAGATTCATATTCAAATTCAAGTTTTTCATCATCACATAGAGCATAGATAGATTGAAGTGTAAAGCGTGTCACGGGAATTCCATCTGCACGCTGATGATCATCCATCACAATCTGAAGAAAATATTGATTGTCAACATGATTAACAGAGGATTTAACTAACTCGGTAGTTCAGTACATCATAAATGCATAAAGATATGTTCAAAGGGTGAATTTTATAAAAACATATAAAGTGAAGCAAATAAAATTCACGTAATCTAAGTGAAGGGTGCGCAAACACACCCTCCCCAAACTCTACTTTTATTGGGATTTTACTGGGTTTGTTGTTGTTAAAGTGAGGGCATGGAATCTCCAACCTCTCAGTAAGCCCATCAATGATAGTGAAAATTCAATTGCAAGGAATATGCATGGATGTTGTCAAAGCCGCCTCATGAGGATTTCTTTAGAGGCGAAATAGACTCATTTTAACACGGTAACATAGTGTGGTTTGATAGTGTTTTTTATGGTGCTTCACCTGCCTACTCTACGGTTCAAGGCAGCTCAGTTGGAGCCTGGAGGTCGATTTGGGGGCAATTATCTACCTCTTAAGTTTTCCAACCCGGATAGGGCTGATCAGCTTAGGGATGTTTGCTGAGCATCCTATATTGGCTGGCAGTGCCTGGCACTTGGGTTTGAGTGTGAGGTAAACATCACTTTTTGAGAATCCTCTGGGAGTGGTTGATAAACGGGCATGCTATAGTCTTAACTCTTAACTTAGAAATAATCCATTTACCTTGTACCCAAAAAGTTCACAGCAGGCCCTTCTGAAGACTGAAATTCTATCAGCAAAAACTGTCTTGTATCTTCATTGAAGAATACTAAGTCAGGCATAAAAATCATGACAAGATGCAATTAAAAGAAAATACAATATTAAAAGAATTTCATTTGCTCATTCACCTCTCTTCACGTTTCTCCAGTGTTGCGATTTGCTCTTTGAGCTGCAGAATCTTTCCAGAAATATAAGAGTCAACTAGCGTTCCAGCATCAGCTGGATAATCTAAACAATATGTGTGATTGGAGAAAGAGTGAGACAAGGCCATCAACGAGGCTGGAGTTCAGTCTTGAGTCCACACACAACAAATATGTCAATTATACTTACTCGACTATAAACCAAATCCAGAAACAGAGTTTCAAGGGTACTCAAATCATATTGACAACATCCAGAGGTATACAGAACATGACGCATCACATAAAGAATCCATTTATCTTGACGGTGAATTTGGAGCCGTGAGGTGAAAAGGCTAGTTGTATTGGCGAGTTTAGTAGCCAGAGCTATGAGACAATAAAAATGTACATTTGACGTGTTTGATAAACTAACTCTTCAAGTATCATTCAAGAAATTTTGAACAATATGTACCGGAATTAATTTGTTTAAAGAGTTAGCAAAACTAATACTCTATATATAAAACAGAATATAAAATTTAAAATAAAAAAAATCTTCTCATCAAAAGAAAAAATCTCCCAACACCTCAACAGTCTACATAAAGCACCAAACTGTGGTGCGTAAAAATTTCATATACAAATATTCAACACAGGGCCCTAAGGAAATCAAATCCAAGACTCTTACTAGTAAAAAAAGTAATTTGGAAATGAAAAAGTGACTATGCTCCAACATTGTTTCAACATAATTCATTTTTGAAAACCAATGATATAATGTTCACAAGGAATATGAGATTCCATGTGCACAAAATAAAAGCCTAATAGCAAAGATCACTTGAAGTGTACAAAAACAGTTGTGTATCATTAGAAAACCACATAACTTTGGAAGTAAAACTTAACATACCAGACTGCTTCAACTCTTCAAGAGCCTGCAACTTCTCCTTGGTCTTCTGCAGCTCACTCTGCAGAACCTCTATAGTTTGTTTTGCTTCATTATCTACTCCAAGGGTGTTAACCATTCGAAGAACTTTTGTATTTGCTGATGAATAATCACCATGCCCTAGCTAAAAAATTAAAAAACTATTACAAGAAAACATAAAGATATAGGTAAGCTAATTACTCCACAAAATAAACCTTGGATTCTAATAGAGCAATCTCAGATCTTAGCCGGTCACCCTCTCTTTCTAAAGACTTTATTCTCCTTGCTTCATTGCTCAGCATGTCATTCAGCAACTTTAGTTCATTAAGCTTACGAGTATTGATCTCCCTTTGTTCAGATAAACTGCTCTCGAGTTCCTTTATACAGCTATCTTTCTTAGCAAGAGATGCTTCAAGCTCCTGTATTTTGACACAACGGCAACTACTATCAAATGGAGATTATATGAGAAATATATAAGAGAAAAATGAGTCCAGTTCTTTGGACCTGAACGAGAGTTGCATGGGAGGCCTCAATGCCAGTGCCCACACTCTTTTGTGTCCTTAGCTCATCTACAATATGCTTTAACCGATCTCTTTCTTCTAAAACAGATGAAAGCTGGAACAAAAATTTGCAAAATACAGCTTCAGAGAATATTCAGAATCTAAACAGACCTGATCATCAAAGTTACATGAAAAAGTATCCAATATATGAAGTGGTTAATGAGATCAAAAACTCAAACTTTAGCAGATTTATCATTTGCAAAAGAAAAGCCCCGTGTCAAGCTAGAGGCAATGACCTTGAAACACATAGTACAAACAAAGGCATCAAAGCTGAATTCAGCAAAGAACCAACAAACCACTTCTTCATGAGCATGTGGCACTTGCACATGTTTTGCAGGCAATCAAATATTATTTGATCTTTAATTTTGACCACAAAACCAGCTTGAGAGACTCTCGTGGGATTCAACTAGGCTGTTGTTGTTGTTGTTTGTTGAGAACCAGCTTGAGAGAGTATACGACAAGTTTGGAAATTTGATTACATAACACTTTAAATTAGCTCTGGTACATGTATGTTGCTTTTCTACCCGAGCATCTGCTTTAGCCAACTAATTTTGAATCCCATTTGCATTGACATTCTCTGCTTACTACCCACCCACCCCACCCCCAACATGCAAAAAAATGATTGTTTGGTGGCCCTCTTTGGATTTGAATTTGCTTAGAGAACAAACCATATTAATTTTTCTGAGATTATTCAAACTCATTAAGATAGCATCGGTAGAAGCATGTGCAACAAGAAAGATTACACGCAACAGACGAGACACAACAAAGCAAAATGTCGAAGAAATAATACATGACAAGAATATTGGGTCAAATAAATTTCTCACGCATACAATACCTATTTAGGATCCAATTAAGTTTAAGCATACCATCAATTCAGTCCTCTTCAGCTCTGACATCAATAATTCAGCATTTTCCTTTGCCATGTTGATATCAGCTTCTGATTTGTTGTTTTCAAGCTTTAGATTGTCCAAAGCCACCTCCATTTGTTTCAAACTAGCCTGAGCTTCACCCATTTTTATCATGCTATCAAGAACCTCCCTGCACACCATACAAGGATGAATAATAGCAGAAATGTACAGAAACTTGGCTCATAATGTTACCATTCATCCAAGTGGATTCATATACTCCCTCCGTCCCAAATTAATACTCCTTATTTTCTTTTTGGGCTGTTCCAAATTAATCCTCCTCTTTCCTTTTCTGAAAGCTTTTTGTGACTCACTTTTTTTCTCTATCCTCTGCATCACTTTTAACCACACAATTTCACTTTTCTTAAACTCCGTGCAAAGTCAAACTAGGAGGATTAATTTGGGACGGAGGGAGTAACAAAATATTTAGACTTAAGAAGAATGAAGGGAGAAATAGCGCTCATTTACCTGACTCCACTAAGATTGGGAATTAATAATTAATGCTTAAAATTGTCTACTGGAGCATTTAAAATTTATATTTTTTTATCCCTTGTGTATATTGTGATATCTCCTCAGTCCCCACATCCTCCCTCCCAAAGAACAACAGCATTTTACCATCAGAACAACACCCATCAGAAATTTAATTCCTCAATTTCTTTATGTTCAAGAACAAGAAACTCCTAGTGTAGTACAAGGTGTCAAACAAGTAGTGGACTGACATGGACAATATTTTTCTACAAAGTTGTCCACAATAGTAACTAACCACTGAAAATAAACCCAAAAAAAGGATCATTGAGCTACCGGCATACTTTTGTAAAGAGGCAAATTTACGAGGTATATCATCAGCACATGATATTCCAGGGATATCTAGTACTACTGATTTCCAAGTAGACAGTTCATCCTCCAGCTTCTTAACAGTCACCTCAAGATCTGCTAATTTAACTAACTCGGACTCTGCCCTATCCCTCCGACCTTTTTCTTCAAGTAATTTTTCCTTCAGCAGCTCAATGTTCTCATGAGAAGATTTTAGCTTCCTTGCTTCACGCACTTCAGCCTCCTGTGAATAGGATGGAAACAAATCGCATGGCATAAGTGCCCTTGCCTTCTTGGAAATTCTCAAAATGAATAGTATATGCAGCAACACCAAAAGTAGTTTTGGAGGGGTCATTGAAGGATTTGAAGCAACCAACATGTTTTACAAATAATTTATTGACTTAGTTCTAAACTTACATAGTGCCTTAGTTCTTCTTGCAGATGCTTGACCAAGATGCTGTCATCTGTGGAAGAACTTTCACGAAATGTAAAACTAGACAACTTTTCCAGTTCCATTCTTTGTTCCATGCACTGGTAAAGCAACAATATTCAGTCACACTAATATAAATTTAAAAAGACGAGTAGTCAGACAAGAACAACTAAAAAAGCAGGTTCAAAAGCAATAGAATACAAATACAACAGTTCCAACTTCATTGGTGTTTGTGGGGTCAAAATGTACGCAACATTGCAACCCTTGATTGGAAGCTAAAAAATGTATCATTCTGAAATAGGTGCATATAAGATGCAAGGAAAAACATAAATAAAAAAAGAGTTAGATGCACGAATAGTCCCTGTGGTCTATCATATGTGGGTAAACAGTCCCTATGCTTTTAAAAGTTGTTAAATAGTCCTTGACTCCTTGTGGTCATATGTTTGCCTCACACTTGATCTCTCCCGTTAACTCACAACTCTCCCTAACGGAGAAGTCAAAGAGCCATTCTTTTCCTATAATCAACTTCTACTGCAAAACTAGGGTATTACACTAGTGGACGGATTAACTCATCCGGAGAGCTCAAGCTATAAAAGAAGACACTGCTCCCACAGCTTTTGCAAGGTAAATCTCTCACACACTTGATTTATATAAAAAAAATGGATTTGATAAATATATGTGGGTTTTTTAAAAGTTTCTTGGTTTGGGATTGAAAAATTAGTTTTGGAAGATTGCGACCACTGGAAATAAAAATCAGTTCAGGATATATATATGAATGAATTAAATGATATGGAGCCCAAAGCAGCTAAGTGGTTGAAAGCACTACCTATTAAGTGTTGGGCCAGGTCTCATTATCCAGTGCACTCAACTTGTGATGTAACTGTCAACAATGCTTGTGAGAGTTTCAATAACTCTATTTTGGAGGCTAGGTATAAGCCTATCATTTTTTGCTAGTTTTTTTTTTATTTTTTTTGCTTGGGACAAGACATGCTTATTTGGAAAAAATTAAATACTACAACCACTTTTTACTTTTGTATTTAGAATTCATGTTTTACTATGTGGTTCATCTCAATCAATACCTATTTCTAAACGCTTAGTTTTGGTGGTTTATTATTGGTGTGATTTTGTTTACTTGAGAATGTATCGCGGTAGGGATGCCTCAGATTCTTTGGAATTTGGATGGAGACACTTTATTTGTTTGCTTGAGTTTACTTGGGGGAATACGTGGGTTTTTTTTCTTTTTACTATTTATTTTGCTTTGTTTGAGAGAAAAATGCAGAGATGAGTGAAAGTTTCATTTCATTGGTTTGAGAGTAAAGCAATAGTGGGGCGGAACAAGAGTGAAAGTTGATAAGCTACGTCACTTTGTGTACACTAGGTAAATATTGGGTTCTTATTCACGCTGAAGACTACCACAAGTGTACAGTATAGTTTTTATTCAAGCTCCGTTAGTGAAAGATACAACTTAACGGAAGAGATCAAGTGTGTGGCCTTTTTATGACCACGAGGACTATTTAACAACTTTTAAAAGCATAGGGACTATTTACCCACATATGATAGACCACAAGGACTAATTGTGCATTTAACTCATAAAAAAGCTCATATGTAGTGATGATTTGAGAAACTTCAAACAAATACTAGAGCTCTATGTGTAGTCATCAATCATCATCCTTCAATCCCTAGTGCAAAACCAGGATGAGACCAGCACCTCCGAGTAATCATCAGTTTAAAATCTGATAGAGCTTTGGTAGCTTATCCTAGGATTGAGCAAAAATTTGTGACAGCAAAACGTGGAGATGATGAAAAGGATTGCTTGAATGACTTCAAAAGGTTACCTCATTTAGTCGCACTATAACATCTTGCAGTTGTTCCTTTAGTAATGCTGATTCCTTCTCAGCATTGACAGCTCTGCACTCCATTCTTTCAAGCTGAATGAAAATGATACCCTAAGTTAGATAACAATCCAGAGAAGTATTTTAATTACTTTTTCTACCAATTGCAGTGTTCTAACATTTTTTTTAATGCTAGAGACAGAAAATGAGGATTCCGTTTTTAGCTGTTCAAGTTCATTATGCAGACGCCTTTTCTCTCTTTCCATGCTTTCAGAGAGACTGCTGTGTTTCCTCTCATAGAGGCTTGCTTTTTCTTCTGCAGAAGCAGCTGCAGACTCTGCTTTTGCACGAAGATTCTTTTCGTGTTGGAACTTCACCTATCCACCAAGCAAGATTACAGAAACATTATGCATGGGGAAATAAAAATACATAAGCAAGAGTCTGGCACACAAGAGTCAACCAATACAGAAAATCATCACTATTTTGTAAATTGAGAATAAGATACTAACTTTTCCCCCATGATTTATTAAAATCAACTGCACAACCAAACCAATTAAAGGAACTCAAACTCAATTGGAGATGTACAAGTCTAGGTAGGTGTGTGTCCAAGTCAAGTATCATCTTATATTTTCATGGACAAAGCTGTGTTGAGTTGATATATACATCATCATTTTGTTTAAAAAAAAATATTGTGTTACCTCAAGTTCACTGTATAGCTGCAGTTGCTTTGTAAGCCGTTCCTGAGAACAATCAATCTCCTTCAAGAGCTGCTCTTGCAGAGATTCTTCGCGTCCTTTAGCAGCAGCTAGCTCTTGTTCAGCATAGAGGAATTGATCACGATATTTCTTCCTTTCAGCATCTATATTTGAGTTCATGTCAATGCATGTGTTTAAGATCGTATTCCCAAATGTGATATAGAATTCAATGATATTGGATATAGAAAATTAACTTTTTTTTTCATTAAGTTAAGATTGTGTATAAAGTAGAAAATAATTAAAAAAATCAGGAGTGGTTGAAACGATTAAGTAAAATCGCATAGATTGGCCTTTGTAATTTCTATAACAGACTATATCACTCAAGAAGCTCCATGACCTCCCTGCCTATTAAGCTTGGAAAAGCTCATCGTAACATGTTTTCTCATTTACGTAATGGCAATGCAAATCTAAGTTCCATCACACTATTTCAATGTCAGTATGAAGTTTTAACTAAAGTGAGAGCTAAATCTGCACTGACTCACTGATAATGAGATATAGTTTAAGGTTCAACAGGTTTGGGACTTGGCAGTGGATTTGATGACTGTGTACTGGAAACATTGAAATCAAGGCATTGAAGTCACAATTAACCTTTGAAATGTCGTAAAGAAAATTTAATTTTCAACTCTTCATCAGCACCACCTTAAATATGAAAATTGGGGTCAAGTAATCAGTCAATGGCATGAAACTTAAAGCCATATAAGAAGCACCAATTTTACAAATCTAAACATAGAGTTTTAGGGCATGTACTATTGGACAATTATTGGCCAGGCAAAAATAGATTACGGAGTTGGGATGAACTTTTGGTTGGATTGAGTTCAAGTTTATGACATCTGTAAAAGACTGCTCTGACAATTAAATTCATTGTACCAATACATATGCCTCTATCACTGGTTAGCTTAAATATATAATCAAATTACCTCGCACAATTTGCTATGCCTTTGACAACTCAAATCATAGTCTAAAAAATACTAGCAATTAAAAATTGAATATCAAGTTTACTTGAGCAATATATATTGATTTTAAGTCTTCACCTACCCGCTTTGTGCAATTCATCATTTAAAGCTTTGAATTTGGAATTAAAATCCTGCGCTTGCTTCTCTGCAGTGCTCAAGGCATCAAAAAACTCTGACTTTACCTAATGCAATAAAATCAAGGTGGCACATAACCAAATCAGCGAGGAGGAGGTAAGTGCAGTGAACCATATAAGCATGTACTTTTCAATATCAAATTAATATAGCTCACAGTGTTACTAAAACAAATTAAAAAGCAACATATGCAGAAGGCCAGAAGCAAGCAACTATACACGGAAATCAAATTAGAGTAACGAGAGGGGAAAAAAGTACCATCTGACGACATTGATAAGTGCAGAGCATCTGATCGGAGGAGAAATGATGATCCTGAGAAGATTCCAGCGCGGAAGGCTCGTCCTCGTAGATCACCAGCTGCTGACGATTCGAAACGGGGCTGCCGGCCTCGTCCGGCTTCGCCTCCGACTCTGCCTTCCTCTTCCGCACCGGCGGTGTTCTGAGAATCATTCTCCTGCTCGCGATGCGCAGAAACCCTAAGGCTCAACAATCAGTCAGTTGAATTGATCTAGCTCGGAGCTCTGCTCGTGGAGCAGAAGCCTGAAGTGCAGCTGTGTGTTATCTATGTATCTCTATTCGGAGTACTCAGCATAAGAATCTATAGAGGAGAAGTCTCGGGCAATTTCTCCCGCCCAAACCGCTGGTCCGTCTCCGCCGTCATCGGGAGTATGCGGGAATTGGATCTGCATGAATGTCTCAAAATTTAGCCCAATGTGCTCCCGCTTTTTAACATTTTACTCCCTCCTTCACTAAATAAACTTCCCCTTTCGTTTTTTCTTTGTCCCCCAAATAAATTTTTCTTTTCTCTTAAAAAACCCCTTTTACCCCTTACTTTTTCATACCATACCTATCACATCATACCTTTTTACTAATAATCTACCTATCACATCTTACATTTACACATCATATCAAGGGTGTTTTTGGAAAGTCAACACAAAAATATCCCTACCTTAAATCCTCAAAAAGTCAAAAATGTAAGTTTATTTAGGGACGGAAGGAGTACAAAATGAAAGATACTCCGTGATAGGAAAAAAAATGGAAAATTATCCAAAATAAACACTTTATTTCTTTAAAAGATTGTCATAATTTAAATTTTTTGTCAAATTGTGTCACTCTTTGACCATAAAGAGTGACGCCTGATGGATATAACCCATTGATTCCACCCGCCAGGTTCGCAACCGGCCGAGATGTACCTAAGTCTGACGCCTCAAGACATGGTCAACCGGATAGCCTAATCGGGCGGGTATGGAAGGGTTCAGAATTGAGAGCATGACTTTGTCCGACGAAAGCACGCAGACTTATCGGTTGAAGACTAGTCGGTCGAAAGAACAATAACGTTGAGACGTGCTTGACGTGCTTGTTTATTCTTATAAATAGGAGTAAAAGCCTCATTAGAAAGAAGATTAAATACCTAAGTATAAATTATCTTTTTTATTTATTATAGCGCTAATATTTATTATATTTGTATATATTTTCATAATATAAATTGAAACAGATTAGTTAGGATAGCTTACATTCCGTTCGGTATAAAATAATCCATAAAGTACGACTTAGCTTATCTATAAACATGGAATAACTAAAGTGAGAATAACGTTTTCGATTAGCATTAGCATTTAAGATAAAAAATTTAATGATGTAGATTAATTTTTTAAAGCGCTAATGCTAAAAGATACCGTTGGATAGTCTTTTCAAAATGTTAACTTATTCTCAAACGCTAATGTCAAATAGGACCTAACTGGTTATCCTAATTTTCATTTTATATAACTTATGTCAAAAAACCAACTCAACCAATAGCTCAACTTGTGGTTGTTGCATATGAATTTTTTTTATATATACTCTAACAGGCTCCCTCATGTGTAGGTGTGACTTCTTCGAGACTTGCACGTTAAACCTTAAAATTTTTTAAATTGGTAGGCGGTGAGTTTCGAATTTGTGACATTTTGGTCAATCGAGAAATCAACTCAATCAAAAGCTCAAAGTTCTTGTTATGGCCTAGAAAAGATTTTTATATATTTTAAGAACTTACATTCTAGGCAAACTCTTTTGTAGTTCCTAGGTCTATATTTATTATATGAACCTTGAGATATAGAAAGACTACACATATTGGGCTTTATAAAATGAAAAAGATTCAATTATGAGCTCATAAAAAATATGTCAGAAGATTCACATTTTATATATGGACATATGACTACGATAACACAATTCTACATTTTATACAAATTATTTTGTAATTTAACTTGAGCGTGCAACTATTATCAAGACCTATTCAATATTCCCGATCTGGCCATCATGAATAGTTATATCAATCCAACTAATTTACACCATTAGTCTCATTAGAGATTGTGTCATGGTACTTTATTTGGACGTAAAATCTCCTACCCGTCTAAAAACTGATCTTAGGCCCCATTTGACATCAGTTCAGAGGTTAGCATTTTGAAAAAGTTATCTCACAATTGCTTTTAGCATTATCATTTTTAGAATTAAGTTACACCACTAAATCTTTTCTAAAACGCTAGCGCTAATAAAAAATATTATTCCCAAACAAGACCGTATTCCATGTCAATGTAAAACCCCGAAATCCAATTTCACTCCGCTAATAGAAGAAATGTGTGTGGTGCTTTGTATTCTCTCTATTCCTCTTACTCTGCAATTTCTTTATTCGCTACTTACTGATCACTTCATATTACGCAATCTTCACAGCCATAATTGATAATTTGTTAAGCATTAGTTAAATCAAATTAAATAAGTTTAGTTAAATATTATATAAACTATATAATAGAAAAGATTAGGAATTACTCCGTATTAAAAATGTTTTTAGAACTTTGGTAACAAGGGGAGTTTCATTTGCCGTAATAAAGTAAATACCAATTCACTCAATCCTTGAAAAAAACCAGACACAACACACTTTTGAACCACATGGTCCGAACAAAAAAAGGCCTCTGTCAAATTAAAACTACATCACACTGCATGAGATTGAGAGTATCACTTCTCACTTTGCCTTTTTATCCACTCTATATACTTTTCCACTCTTCATTCGATTTCACTGTCGGGTCCCGAATACTTCGGAGTAACGTATAATGCATGAGGCTCATTGCGGATGTCATAACCAATTTAGGTTTTTTTAGTGTTTCATTCGAAAAATTGATATTTTTTTATTAAATATAGTATAATTAAATTGATTTGTTTTCAATTCGAGATCCAACTTGAAAGTATTGGGTTTCCAACAAATGTTTTCTTAACCGAATCTAAAATGACCCGTTAAAAATGAGTCAAACATGACTGAATTTGAAACTTACATAACCGTCGCGCAAACATAAGAGTTTTTCAAAGTCATGTACTTTAATATGAAAATAAATGTGACTTTTGTTTTTTTCCTCGTTGCTCATTTTTAGTTATAAAGTAAAAACTTATATTTTCAAACAATTCAATCTACAACAACAACAACAACCCAGGTGAATCCCACAACAGTAGGGTCTGGGGAGGGTGTGTGTACGCAGACCTTGCCCCTACTCGGAAGTAGGGAGGCTGTTTCCAAGAGACCCCCGGCTCCACCTGCATAAAAATATGGAAGGGAACACAGTATAACACAGATAAAGCACCAAGTACAAGCAACAAGTACAAGTAACAAGTACAAACAATAGCAGAAGATTCCAAACAAATACAGCACAGTACAAAACTACCTCTACAACACCGAGCTCCTATCCAGCTACTCTAATCCTAGTTTTCCAAAGGTTCAATCTATCTTACATTTTTTAAAATGGGTAGATATTTAATTTTTTAAATTTTGTTCATAATATTGTTAAACATCTCTAAAAAGTAATTAAAAATTTAGAACAGAATATTCTAGTAGCTTTAATATACTTCCTATATCCTAAAAAACAGTTATTCTGTTTCTCAAAAGAGTTCCTCTTTTGACTTTGGGAGAAAATAAGGAAGTGTTAAATTGTAGTTGACTTTCCAATTTTGCCCTTGATGTGATGGGTAAAAGTAAAATGTGATAGTTTAGTTGTTAGTGAAAAAGTATGATGTGATAGGTAGGGTATGAAAAAGTAGGGGTAAAAGTGGTTTTTTAATAGAAAAGGGAAGTGTTTTAAGAAAAACAAAAAAAATGAAAGAGGAAGGGTTTTAAGAAACGGAGGGAGTATTATAGACTTCTTGATAACTATTGTTTGTGTGTGTTTATATATTGGCCAATTGATAAAATAAAATATTTTTGTCACTACATATATGATTTGTAGAACTTTTAATATTATTTTAAATTATTCATCGGTCTTAAAATTATCTTCATGTTCACTATTTACTGGATAAAACTATCCATTTTGTTAGCATATTTTTGTTACTTACGGAGTATTTAATAAAAAAAGATTGTTATGTCACGTCTACTTTCAATATCAAATTTTCAATAGATTGAATTGAAAATAACTTTAGTCAAACATCATAAAACACAACATGAAATTAGGTTTAGGTAAGAGGAAGTATGTAAGTTACCCCGAATACTTTTGATTACTATAATAGGTGGTAAATAAGATTATTATAAAATAGATGGGATTTTGCTCTCGTTTGAAACAGGAAAAAATGTTTAGGACGAAGAGAATATGTATTTTGATATTTTATTACGAAGCAACTTTTAGTGAAACATATACGTGTTATTGTGAATTTAAATATACAAAAAATAAAACTTACAATTTGTTGGGTCGACCCGATCGATGATAGTGGAACTTGAACATGCAGCTCTTAACACAAACTTACTCCATATGACCTAATCAAGTGATTTGTGCTATATTTCCTACTCCCCTTAACCTCACAGTAAATTCCTCTTACCTCTTTCAATTGCACCCTCAAAATTACTTGACTTTAGAGTAAAAATATGTGATCCCAAAACCAACTACTTTGGTGGGTGCAATTGATTCGGGTATGGAGGTGAATTTAAGTCGAATTGTGATGGAGGAATAGAGGTTAGTTTATGACAAAAATATTACGGAGTATGTGCCAATCATATCGTGGGGTGAAACATGTAGGTAGTGTGCATTTGTGCGACAGCCTTTCATACAATCTCATGGAAGTTTCATCGTAAAATCAATTAGCGATAGTGAAATTTACCTAAATAATACTAAAACATAATGACTTACTCGATGTAAGACCATATGACTTACTCGATGTAGTACCACTGGTCATAGCACATTGGTCATTGTTCAAGTAAATGTTCACTGTCACTAGATATTATTCAAATACTATTTAGGGAATAAAATGTTTAAATATTACATTGGAAAATGACACATATTTTAGTACTATTTAGTGTAAATTTTACGTAGCTATAAGATGATTGATCATTAGGCTTATATGTTAGATTTCTATGTGTTTCTTTTCCGATGCGAGAGAAACCTCCCAATAGTTGATTAAGAGATTAAAAAGAATAGGAACTATATATTTTTTTATACAAAATATTACTCCATCCGTCCTAAAATAGATTACAATTTTTTTCTTTCATTACAATAATTTTTATTTATTTGTGTGTTTTCATTGGATATTTTATAAAATAAAATATTTTTGTCATATCTCTTTTTGTAGAACTTTTGACATAATTTTTTTAGTACGGAGTATATATAATTTTTTATTCTTATTGATATATCAATTTGTAAATATAATAATTTCAAAAAATAAAAAAATCCTCATTATTCTCAATTTGTAATCAAATTAGGGATGAAGAGCGTATTTAGAGATGTGTATATCGTGGCACCCAAAATGAGTGTGAATAAAACTCTTCTTTCATAAAGCAAGGCAGAATAGTACGAGCAATATAAATGAGGGGGGTAAAATGGGAACAGACCGAACAGTGAATAATGTGGTGAGACAGAGTAGAAGGGGGAGACAAAATCTGTGGGACGCAATGTGCAAAATAAAGAAAAGGGTGAAGTGATAGGCGTACAAATAAGGGGAAGCATAGCAAGAAAGAAAGCAAGGGGCTGAGCAATGAAAGGGACTCACATGGCATCCTACCCCACACTCCCATTTCCATTTGTGTAAATACTTCGGATTATGAAAAAAATTCAATCCTTTTACATCGACACTTAAGATCCGTTTGGTACACAGAATTCAAGTAATGGAATAAGAATTGAGGATTGTAATTCCAATTTTATTGTTTGGTCGCACAAAGATATGTAAATTTGGAATTAGTAGTGCAAAAAAATGAATTTATTTTGAATAATTCAGTTCCATACAATTCAATTCCATAGAAATTTATTCCCAATTTCGTTAATTTCGTATACCAAACGGACCTTTACTCCTTATTTGGATTAGGTGAGAAAATCTCGCAATTATTCTTAGAACTTTGTTATAGGTGAACCTCCTTTTTTGGAACCGTAGTTTCTCACTGGCAACACACGCACATATAACAGCTGTTTGTACAAAGTAGAAATTGTCAATGTGTGTCTATGAGAAATTAGTGATAAAACTTAAGAGATTTTAGGGTTGGAGTTATGAAGTGTGATGTTCGTTGGAAGAAACTGAAAAAAGTTCAAAAAAGTCGATAAAATTGAAAAAAACTAGAAGAAGTTAGAATAAAAACTTGAAGTTGGAAAATATTTGAGAAAGAATAAAGTGTTAAAAAATCATCCAATTAAATCTCCACCCAAATAAATATGCAAGATACTTTTGAAAAAAAGAATATTTTTGCTAGTGTTCAAGGTGGTATATTATAAATTTCGATATATGTCGTTATTGCATATTCACTATATGTAATTACTTTTTATAAACTGAAAAGAACTTGAATGAGTTGCAAAAAATTAGGAATTGATATTTTCACCCCAAAGGAATGTGTTTTTTAGCACAACAATAGAGCAACATGACTTAATACAAAGAGCCTTAAAGGAACATGTTTTTTAGCACAACAATAGAGTAACATGATTTCATAAAAAGAGCCTTAAAGAGCCTTAAATATCAACAAAACGGGTTATTTGCTAGAAATGGTAATCTTTGTATTGTCACTTCAATGTGGAGCTTTAACAACGTTTCAACAATTAATAGTCACACATATCCAGAAACGGTTAAAGCGTGTTTAATTGTCAGTACCTGCATGCAAGGATTACTTTGTATAAATGGAAAAGCACATGAATGAGTTGAAAAAAAATAGAAATTGATATCTTCAACCCAAAGAAATATGCTTTTTAGCACAACAATAGAGCAACATGACTTAATAAAAAAATGTAAGGATCTGAGGTGGTGGCAATCAAATGTGTCAACTAACAATTCAATTAAAAACTTAAATTTGCCGATTTAAGGATTACAAGTGAAACTGAACTCTTGAAAAGATATTAAAACCATCTACAAAACAGGTTATTTGCTAGAAATGGTTATCTTTGCATCGTCACTTTAACATGAAACTTTAACGACGTTTCAACAACTAATAGACACACATATCCAGGAACAGTTAAAGCGTGTTTAATTGTCAGTACCTGCATGCAAGCGTACCCAACAATGTGAGGATGATTAATTGATTCATGCCATATGGGCATATGGCCTGAGAATGGTGGCTCATTGTGAATGTCTTAAAGGCTCAAAATGACTGTCATTTACGCTTAATATAGAGACTCACATGTAATTATAGTTTTAGGGTATTCACTAATGCATTTGATGATTTAACATATATCAACACAAGGTATCCTGTACCACCATTAGTTCCCCAACAGTTATTCCAGTTACTCAGGCCTAATTCACCATTAATTATTTAATTGCAAGGTGAATTGGGTATTATTGAGTCTCTTCACTAAACATATTTGAGTGAGTTCCAATTTACCGATTATATTTTAGTTTATTTTTAGTTTGATAGTTTTTCATTTAGTTTCTTTTTTTAAAAAAGATTTAATGAATGTTCAATTTAATGATTCTTATTTAAAAAAATGGCAGAAAATTACTCTGGGGTACCATTGATTTTATAGTAATAACTCCCAGATTCTACATTATTAGAAAAAGGGCATCCTTGATTTTCTTGTAAGAACTCTGATGTCCTATATTATCTGAAATATATTTCAAGGGTCTTTTAAATTATTAGTAATGTACTCTTATGATACATTTTGTCTAATTTGACTATTATAATAAAAAGTTTCAATATTTTGACAAATACTAAATTTTACTTTGATAATCATTATTTTATTAAATTTAAATAAAAATATTCAGTTTTTCAAAGTAAAAGAACTTTCAATCTTAACACCTGAATAGACGGGATGAATCCTTGAAATATAATATCACAAATTTTAAGGATCTCGGAGTATATTTCTGTTAATGTAGGAGTTGAAAGTTTTACTTGAGTATCAAAGGTACCTCGAGATATATTTTAAATAATGTGAGACCTTTGAGTTATAACTAGAAAATCAAGAATAATATAAAAAATACTTATATGAATGCCTACACATTTTTAATGCTCCATCTGCCCAAGATTCTGATTTGTTTGCCTCTTTCTACCAAATAAACAAACAAAAAAATCAATTTTTTTTAATGTCTGAGCCAATGAGGGGTTGCAAGAGTTGAACTATAGGTAAGAAGTGAATGTAGCATATTGACAATGGACCCAAACAACCAAAAAAGGAAAAAAAAAAGAAAAAAGAAAGAGAAAAATATGAAAAGTACTGTACAAAATACTGTAATAAAGAGAAACAATGGTACTGCATAAGTGTGCAGCTGTATATTTAATTGAAGAAAAAATGAGTAAGAAAATGGCTGAATATATATAGAACCCACAATTTTAGAGCAAGGACCATTGAAAATACTGTCGGCTTCCACCAGGCAAAGACCATTACCTGTCCCTCTCTCATCCATCTCTCTCTTCAGTTCGCTTCATCTTCGTCAAAAACCCTAATAATTGGTGCCCACTGATCGATCAATTGGAGCTGGGATGCCTCTGAAGTGATAGCCCATCAAGCTGTTTTCTTGAAATGGAGGATTTTTCCTGCGCTTTAGCGGGGAGCATTGACATTTTCTTGAATCTCTGAGGTAAAGATTTGATTTTTTTTGGGTTACTTTTTGTTTTCTTTTTTTTCTGGGTTTGGTTTCTTGTTTTCTTGTTTCCTGAATTTTCTCAACATAGAGATGCTCGTAGGTTGAAGTCTCACTTATGCGTCTGTGTATGTATGGGTGTAATTGGACTTGAATTTCTCTGGAGTTTGGTGGATCTTGTTTTAGTTCTTTATTCTACCTGCTCTGATCTCGAAATTCGGTGGTGGGTTACTGAGTTTACTCTTTCTTTTCACTCTTCTGCTTCTTTTAGCTCCGATATAAATCACATTTGATTTTAGTAACATCTGTGATTTTTGACATGGCGTTTAAATTGGGGATCTGATAAGAAAACATGTAGGTCTTGTTCTGCATTTCTAGTTCTGGCCTCATATCTACTCCCTCCGTTCGATAATATTCTTCCCATTTGACTTTTCTTGGTCAAATTTGTAAACTTTGACTATGATATGTGGAAAAAATACATTGTATTAGGATATAACTTTAATATGAATATATTAATTTTGAAATATAGTTTTCAAATATCAATTTTTTATAAAATATATTCATGTATAAATAAAGATATTAGTGGTCAAAGTGTAATCTTGGAGACCGTAAAAAGTCAAATGAGAAGAACATTTCCGGACGGAGGGAGTAGTTTTTTAGGCGATTTCCCCGAGGCGTTTCGGTGACAGGTCAAGGTTTAATTTATTACGCTATTACAGATTTGTGCCATTTGGAAACTTTTGTTTCTCTCAAGATGCCAAATTTGGAAGTAATTATGGTTTTTTTTGTTTTTAAATTTCCTACTTAGGTGTGTTTTAGAGGTGTTATGTAGTTTATTCACCAGTTTCTTGAATCGAAACTTACCGATCATCTTTTATGTTTGTTTCCTTAATCAGATCTATTTCTCGTAGCTGCGGTGTTGGGTAGAAGCAGGATTTGACATTTGTTTGAGCAATAATCATACAAACTAGCAAGGCTTCGGGTTTTCTACTTAATGGCACATCTTGTGGCAAATCAGTTCAATAAAGGGACCTATCCAGGTTTGAGTTGCTCCGTTCTTTGAATTCTCACATATACTTTTTAGGACAGGTATCAATTTGATGTTAAGTATAATTCTTCAGCCTTTACGTCATCATTAATTCAAAGATGAAGTCTTTTTTCTTCATTCGCTTTAGATCGGCAATGCATGGGTATTTCGGGGTTATGTTGTATACTCTCACTAGCTCTAACATAAGTTCTCGTTTGCTTTTTTTTTCTCCGCCCGAGCTTAAGGAGAAGTGGAATTGTATGGTGTAAGTTTATGCAGAGGAGAGAGAAATAACGTGAACCACTCATTTTTCCCCTAATTGGAAAGGGGTTTTTTTGGACAGCTGAAAAAAATAAAGCAGGAAGTTTTTTAGTGATGTAGGGAGCATTAGGCTTCCTTTGTTGCCTGTTTCCATCTTATCATTGGTTGTGAAGTCACAATCATTGCCCACTTTTTCTTTTAATGCTTTTCTATGACATGTTTATTTGGTATGTCATTTATTAGAGCATATAATGATGTTTTAAGTGTCATTCATGGTTCTTGAGATAATTTCATCAGTTCATCACTCATAAAAAAACACTCTACAATTCTGCATGACTATGGGGGTAGACTAGTCTAATCATTTAATTCAGAATGATAATATCTTCCATCATTTTTATTTTTTTCTCCCTCCCTTTTAGATTACTTTGTCCAATTGACCCTCAAGCCCCTGCATTGCTTTTTGTTTACAGGGTCTTCACATGATCCTTTGTACAAGGAACTCTGGCATGCTTGTGCTGGACCAATTGTGACACTTCCTCGGGAAGGGGAAAGGGTTTATTACTTTCCACAAGGTCATATGGAACAGGTAGCATATCTGCAATTCTAATCGTTTGTGCCAGTATGGTATTGACGAGTTTTCATAATTGGGTCTTTTTTAAATATTACTAACAACAAAAGAATCTGGAACTCACTGTTTTTTCATTGTGTTATAGCTTGAAGCATCCACCCATCAGGGATTGGATCAGAAGCTTCCTTCATTTAACTTGCCAGATAAAATTCTGTGCAAAGTAATGAATGTTTATCTTCGGGTAAGTTTTATTGACACTATTTATTGACATTTGACAACTTGCCCATATAGTTCAAGTAACATTGTGTACATGTCTTTGGAGTAGGCTGAACCCGACACGGATGAGGTTTATGCTCAGATAACTCTGCTTCCTGAAACAAATGTGAGTTTTGCCAACCTTTGCTCCCATATTACTTCGGGTCCATTTCGATCCTAGATGGTGCTAATGAAACAATTATGAGGAAATCGAGTGTAAATTTGCAAGGAAAGAAAATTTGATGAAAAATGGAAACGGGTTCAAACTCAACAATCAAGTTTAGATATTTTTTCAAACACGCTTTACTTGTACTCCCTCTGTTCCATATAAAGGTTCCACATTTTCTTTTTGTTCATCCCAGAAGGCCAAAAGAAGGTTTCACTTTCTATTTATGGATAACTTTTTTTGTGGCTCCCTGGCTCATATTATTTCTCTCTACACCACTTTCAACCACAAGGTTTTTTTTTACTCTTAATAATCTTGTCGATTCCATTGTGGAACATTTTTGTGGGAAAAGGGAGTATATTCCTATGTTGATTGGTATAAAGGCCAAGTAATATAAATACATGTGAAGTTCTATATAACTTTAATCAAGATTTAATTTTTCTTCATATTTTCAAAGGTAAAACATAACAAAAACTATTTTCCATGGCAACTCTTCATCCCTACTGATTTCTCATTTCTGAATTCCAAACATAGCCACAAAATTCTCATAGACTTCCTTGACAAAATTTATGAAGTATGATGTTTCCTTCCTTTCTTTTCCATTGACACAGCAAAGTGAGATTACAAGCCCTGATCCTCCTCTGCCTGAACCAGAGCAATGTAATGTCCATTCTTTCTGCAAGACACTCACTGCATCTGATACTAGCACCCACGGTGGATTTTCTGTTCTTAGGAGGCATGCCGATGAGTGTTTACCCCCACTGGTATCTTGACTCATGCTTAATGTTTCTGTGTGCTTTTACCTTTTGGTCTCCATAAGCTTTTACTTAAGGCCCCATTTGGTACACGGAATTCAAATTATGGAATTGGAGTTGAGGACTTCAATTCCAATTCTGATGTTTGGTAGCACAAATATTATGTGGATTTGGAATTGATAGCGCAAAAAATGATTTGAAATTGGTGAATTCAATTCCATGGAATTGGATCTCATGGAATTCAAATTCCAATTCAATTCCAATTCCATCAATTCCGTATACCAAACGGACACTAAGTATTTTTTCCTGGTGGATTTCAATTCTATGTTTGATGTGCAGGATATGTCTCAACAGCCACCATGGCAGGAATTGGTTGCTACAGATCTTCACGGCAGCGAATGGCACTTTCGTCATATTTTTCGAGGTTAGGGGTTTCGATAGACCCACAAATAATAATGAAAGAGAAGACGGAGAAACCAACATAATATAGGAGTAGGAAATTCTCTGGAGCATATAAGTTTTCATCCCATGCTTTATGATTACAGATTACATACGTGTAAATGCTAAACCATAACACTTTAAGTAATCGAACATATCAATAATTAGTAACTAGACCATAATAAACATCATCACATTATGGTTGATAATGTATAGTTGGGCTCCAGTTACCTAAATCAATTAATGTTGGAGACTTGGAATTGTAGGCAACAAGACAAAAAAATTCAGGAAGGGAAAAAATTCAATTAATCTTTGGAATGTCCCTGATTTCAGGTCAACCTAGGCGTCACCTACTCACAACAGGGTGGAGTGTTTTTGTTAGTGCAAAGAAGTTAGTTGCTGGAGATGCCTTCATCTTCCTCAGGCAAGTGACCTTGTTTTTGGAAGCTGGGGATTGTTTTGCCTTGCCCACATTCTCCACTTACTGTAACATCTCCTCTACATTATATGCAGGGGTGAAAACGGAGAACTTCGGGTTGGAGTTAGAAGGCTAATGAGACAGCTGAACAATATGCCGTCTTCTGTTATATCAAGTCACAGTATGCATCTAGGAGTTCTTGCCACTGCATCCCATGCCGTCTCAACTGGGACTCTTTTCTCTGTTTTTTACAGGCCAAGGTTTGCTCCCCCCTTCCCATTTGCAGGGTTCCTTATATTGTAGCTCTGATTTGCAGTTATAGGGTAACTGGCATATGTATTAGGGTGGTTGCCTTATGATTTGTGATAATCTTAGACTATCACTGCAAATCAATAAGGGTATGTTTGGATAAAAAATAAATCTAGGGAAAGGTGAAAATGCTAATGGAAGCTTATTATGTTTTGGTTTATATAGAAAAATGAGAGTTTTTAAAATTTTAACCTGAGTTTTTTTCCACAGGACAAGTCGATCTGAGTTCATTGTGAGCGTAAACAAATATATTGAAGCTCAAAACCACAAGCTCTCTGTTGGGATGAGATTTAAGATGAGGTTTGAGGGCGAGGAAGTCCCTGAAAGAAGGTATTCTAGTTATTGACTAGAACTGTGTTGATACTGGGGGGAATTCAGAAAGTATTTTAGAAAAAGCAGATTTTGTAAAGATCATTTTGAAAATTCGTTTATTAGAAGCTGCAATTTCCAGCTTCTCCAAATCAGTGTTTGGGAACAAATACAACAGACCCAGTAAAATCCCACAAAAAGTAGAATTTGGAACCATTATTTTTTTTCCTCTTTAGCAAAAACCATCCTTACATCTCATAGAAACATACACAAAAAGATTCAGTGGGACCATTGTTAGTCTTGATTACTATATTTTACATTTTTCTATCCGACTTATTTCACAGATTCAGTGGGACCATTGTTGGCCTTGAAGATGATACACCATCTAGATGGCCTGATTCTAAGTGGAGATCTCTTAAGGTTTGTATACTTGGTCTTTAATGCAACCCACTATATATTTTGGAGATCAGCTAATTACTTATCCAACATTTATCAGCATTTATCTAGATTAATTGTATATACCATTTGATGACATATACGTATTGTACATGTCCAGGTTCAATGGGATGAACCATCTTCTATAGTGCGCCCTGATAGGGTTTCGCCATGGGAGATTGAACCTCTTGTCACTTCGACACCTCAAATGCCCCAGCTTTCACAAAGGAACAAGCGCTCACGCCCATCAGCTTTACCTTCTTCTGCACCTGAATTCTCTTCATTAAGTATGATTCTTTTTCTTGGAAAAATATATGCAAATGCTCCCAAGAACTCGAGATTTTATAAAAATACTCTAAAATTACATAATTATCATCTGTCCTCCCAAAAATTCAATATTATTACAATAATACTGCACAATTGCATATTGATCATGGATATGCCTCAAAAATGGAGGATCCATGTAAATTAACATTTTTAAAAATATTGAATTTCTAGGAGCACTGACGATAGTTATGTAATCTTGGAGTATTCTTGTAAAATCTCAAATTTCTGGGAGTATTGACATAAACTATTCCCTTCTTCTTCTTCGGTGTGTTGGGTGCCAAAGAAGTCTGAATTAAGGAAAAGAATTGTGAAGCAAAGTTATTTCTTATGTTCGGCTATACCTTGGAAAATGCAGAGGAAAATGAAACATGATTGATTTGTAATTAGTGTGTATGTAAATGGGAGTAAATAATTTAAATGAGCTTGAGCGAACCTCTAAATTAATTCATTGTGTTTGAATGTATCCTTCATTTCGCCCTCTCCCCCCACCCACCAAATGTTTTCCTCTCAATTTTCTTTTTAATGAATAGTCAGTGCTGTAAAATAATATAAGTATAATTTAATATCTTCTAATGGGTAGCTCTCTTTCTGCAATTATAACATAGGCACATGGAAATCGCCCTCTGAGTCTCCTTCATCATTCACACATTGTGATGCATCTCGTGGGACAGACCT